ACTTTCCTGTTATTTCCTTCTCCCCTCCCTTATTGCAGTTATGGGCATTATGCTGATATCAGATCATATATTGCTCAATATGTATTGATTTCATTCTAGCATTGCAAAGAGGGAGTTATAAAATATTCATGCTAGCAGGCAGACAGGGGTCTAATGGGGCTGAGAAGTTTAGACTACAGACGGGCTGCCTGGGAGATGGGGGGTGCTGGGCTTTCCAGGGGCATTTGAATGGAAGGCGACCAGGGTAGTATTGGGGAAGATGAGACATCCCATAGCAATAAGCAAGTAAAGGATGGGCCTAATAGCCAAAACCTTTAATTTCTCCGATGACATGTCTTCCTGGGGAAGATAGATAACTCTCTTGGAACTCAGAGGAGACAGCATCATATCTCCAAGCCTTTCATGGTAAAGACTGGCTTATCAATGAGGCAGGACCAGGGTGAACTAGAATTTTGCCTAATACAGGGAGCAAGTGTTTGAACATTTAGATATTTAGACAGTTCCCAACTTACAACTGATTTGTGCTTTAATTAGAGGAAATGGAATTTGGAATTTTTCTTAAGGCAAAATGAGATTCAACACTACCATTATTCTCTAATTCAATTATATTGGGTCTTCTATAGATCATTTTTCAGGGATATGTGTATTATTTCATGACCTCAAATTATAATATGACAAGCTGCACAGAGTCCAACTACTTCATGATATAATTACACCTATGTGCAAATGTTTACAATTGTGATCTGGGAGTGTGGAAATTTATTTTCTTCACTATTTTTCACAAATAATAGGAGAATTCACTCTCAGGACTCCTGTAGCACAAACAGCTCCTCTCTATAGGGCTGTAGAGTCAGGGAAGAATGAGTGAGGGTGGGGGGATAGGGAGGGTTTTCAGAGCCCAAATAGAGAGGGCTCAGAGAACCAGGTAGCAGCAGGGATGGGGAGGGGGGGACAGGAGAGAGACAGGCTGGTTAAGATGTACACACTGTCCGTGGGTAAAAACCAGTCTCTATGGAAACATTTTATGGTAACAGAGCATTGTATTTTTTTTTTTGAAGGCTAAATCAAAAGTGTCTTCCTAGCTGGGTGCTGGTGGCTCACACCTGTAATTCTAGCTACTCAGGATTCTGAGATCTAAAGATTATAGTTTGAAGGCAGCCTGGGCAGATAAAGCTGAGAAAATTTATTTCCAGTGAACAAGAAAAGAAGCTGGCAGTGGAGATGTGGCTCAAGTGGTATAACACCAGCCTTGAGCAAAATAAATAAATAAATAAATGAATGAATCGAGACAAGGCCCTGAGTTTAGGCCTCTTCCCCTTTGCTCCTGTCTCCCCTCCCCCCCAAACCCCCTTCAAAAAAAATGGCCCCCCCCCCTGGTTCCCCTGGGTTGGGGCAAGGTTTCCCTCAAGGCCCAACGAAACCAATGGGAAAAGAACCGGAACCCCCAAGGAAAAAAAGCCCCCCTGGAAAAAAGAAAAAAATCCTGGGCCCTGTGTGTGTTGTAATTCTCAAAAATCAAGCTTTTGGGAATCTTTCAGTTCACAGACCAAAAGGGGTTGTCTCCATAGCAACCTCTGAACTCATCCAGGTATGTACTATGTGCAAGCCCTGCTCGGTGGATGTGTGCTCTGGGTTGGGACCCCTTTCCAGGACACTGGGGATGGAGGAGGTTGGGTGTGTGTCTGTGTTTCTTCTGCCTGCTGAAAAGCACAATGCGGCTTTATATATTGTGTATGGAACCCAGGGCCACAAGCATATGCAGCAAATGCTATATCATGTGACCCACGGCTCTTTTGTTTGTATTTTTGTTTTTGAGATAGGGACTTCCTTGCTACTTTTGCCCCAGTCTGGCTTTGGATTCTCTCTCAATCCTCCTGCATCCACCTCCCAGGTAGCTGGAATGACAGCCATGAACTACAGCACCAGGTTCACAATGTAGCTTTTAGGATGTGTTTCTCACTATTAGGAGCTTTTGATGTGATCTAATTTTCCTGTGAGTGGCCAAATGACCATCGGTCAGTCAGTCACTTAATTTTCAGGTGGAATGAAGGATGCCGCTGTTGCTTGCTCTGTGGGTTGAGATGCAAGACCAAGAGAGGAACTGGGTGCCATACTGGTTATTTTTCAAGAGTTGACCTCTGAGCTCTGTGATGTCAGAGACTCAAGCAGGAAGACAATACTCTGATCTCCTTCCCTGTCTCCTGTGTGTGACGTTATTAAAAGGAAGGAAAAGGGCTTCCTCTAAGTTTATTTATTATTTAATCATAAAATTGCCTGTGCATCCTTGCTACTCAGGAGACTGAGCTCTGAGGATCGTGGTTCGAAGCCAGCCTGGGCAAGAATAGTCTGTGAGAGTCTTTGATCTCCAGTTAACTACCCCAAAGCCAGAAATGGAGGCGTAGCTCAAGAACCAGCCTTGAGCAAAATGAACAAACGAACGAATAAATAAATAAATACAAAGGAAAAAAAAAAAGGTTGAGATTGCCCCCTCCCACATACTCACCAAACCCCACCTGCAAACTAACAATCCCAGCCTGGCCCCGCACCGCCACCTACCGTCGCCAGGAGGGACTGCAGCTCGATCTCCAGCGTCTGCATCGTGCGCTTCATCTCGGTCAGCTGCGCCCTGGCGGAGCTGGCGGCGCCTGCGTCGTCGAAGATCTGCTGCTGCAGCGAGGCGCTCTGGAGGGCAGGTGGGGCGCAGAGGGTCACCCCGGGCCTGCCCTCCGTGCCGGGGCGACGGGGTCCGGGGCAGAGGGGAGCACCGAGGGCCCGCCCACCTCACCTTCTCCTGGAACCAGGCCTCGGCCTCCCTGCGGTTCTGCTCGGCCAGGGCCTCGTACTCGGCCCGCATGTTGTTGAGCAGCACCGTGAGGTCCACCCCGGGCGCCGCGTTCATCTCCACGTTCACGTTGCCTCCCGCCGCGCACTGCAGCGCCTTCATCTCCTGGAACAGATGGTATTTAACCACATGAGAGGATCTTGACTATTTCATCTGCTGTAGGGAAACGCCAGCGGGGGCCCCACCAGGGTCTGAGTCATCGCAGGCCCCAAGGTTTGCAATCAAGTGTGCAAACTTCATGACCCCCATTTTAAAAACAATTGTGATTATAAAAAGGTGACATACAGAGGGATTACAGTGACCTAAGTCGGGTAATGAGTACATTTCGTTTTGGACAGTGTCACCCCTCTCTCCTTCCTCTCTTCCAGATTTTCCCTACCTGTGACCCCATTTAAACAAAAAAATAGTTCAATTAATGTTTTTAAAAGTTGAGGTTAGAACAGTTAACATGAGGGCCTCCCGTCAGCAAATTTTTTTTTAAATTAATTTTTATTTATTTGCTTTTTATGTGGTACTGAGGAATCGAACCCAGGGCCTCATGCTTGCTAGGCAAGCATTCTACCACTGAGCCACCTTCCCAACCCCCATCAGCAAAATTTTATGTGCACCACATAATACTGTAGACTGTAAACACAATGTTGCACCGTAGCAAGTGTCTTACACTTTTGAATTTTCACACCCACTTGATAGCAACACCTTCTTTGGCTAAGTGTAATCACATTAGTGAAACAGAAATGTTGTGAAATGATTTTTAAAAAAACAAACCAGCTTTCACCTGTAATCTTAACTACTCAGGGGGCTGAGATCTAAGGATCACAGTTCAAAGTCAGCTTGGGGAGAAAAGTCTGTGAGACTCTAATGTCCAGTTAACCATCAAAATGCTGGAAGTGGTTGGGCTGGGAAGGTGGCTCAGTGGTAGAGCGCTTGCCTTGCATGCATGAGGCCCTGGGTTCGATTCCTCAGCACCACATAAGCAAAAAGAAAAAAAGCCGGAAGTGGCGCTGTGGTTCAAGTGGTAGGGCGCTAGCCTTGAGCTGAAGAGCTGAGGACAGTGCCCAGGCCCAGAGTTCAGGCCCCACGACCAGAGCCCCCCCCCCAAAAAAAATGCTGGAAGTGGAAATGTGGCTCAAGTGGTAATGCTAGCTTCCAGCAACAAATAAAGTCAGTAACAGCATCCAGGCTCTGAGTTCAAGCCCTAGTACCAGGATGTGTGCATGCATACAAACACACACAGTTAGCTCATTTGATTCATACTCATGTCAATCATCAGTTTAATCAATTATTTGCTCATGAAAACAGACCCACCACCTCTATGAAAATTAGTCACAGCATTCCCAAGAGAAAGTCTTTCTTTTCCCTGAGAAGAGATTACAAAGATCAGAGTTATGTCAGCATCTAATTATGGACTAGGTAGGTGTCAGACAGATGGGGATCTATGCCCAATGGAAAAGCCAAATAAGAATCTCATCCCTTCTGGAATCTTCATCTTAGTGATACCAGTTATTGTTTATGAAGTGATTATTATATGCCAGACACCATTCTTAGCATTTGATATGATCCATTTTTGAGACATGTAACATCATGAGGTAGATACTATTATGAAAGTTATTTTACAGATTAGGAAACTGAGGCACAGAGAGGTGGGGTAAGTTCCCATGCTGGGATTTGAACAGAATGGGATTCGAACAAGTTACTCAGGCTCGTGAGGGTCTTTTCCTGATTCCAGGGTCTGTCCCAAGTCATACCATTAAGTCAGTAGATGGATTTATGAGTATCTTTGGGTTAGTGACTTTTTTTTTTGGTCAGTCATGAGGCTTGAACTCGGCTTGGGTGCTGTCCCTTAGCTCTTTGGTTCAAGGCTAGTACTCTACCATTCTGAGCCACAGTGCCACTCTGGTTTTCTAGTGGTTAACTGGAGATGAAAGTCTCACAGACTTTCCTGCCTGGGCTGGCTTCAACTGTAATCCTCTGGTCTCAGCTTCCTGAATAGCTAGGATTACAGGCATGAGCCATTGGTGCCTGGCTACTACTGTCATTTTAATATCCTCTTCCTAAACATTTTAAATGTACAGAATCAGCTGGGTGCGATGGCTCATCCCAGTAATCCTAGCTACTGAGGAGGCCAAGATCCTAGGATCATGATTCAAAGCCAGCTTGAGCAGCAACATCTGTGAAACTCTTTATCTTCAGTTAACCAGAAAAAAGCCAGAAGTGGGGCAGTGGCTCAAATGGTAGAGCATCATCCTTGAGTAAAAAATGTTAAGGGACAGTTCCTTGGCCTTGAGTTCAAGTCCCAGAAGCACACACATACACACACATGTGAAAACACACACAGGTATACACACACACACACACACACACACAAATGTACAGAATCACTGTTTGACTAGAAGTGAAGTGTCTCCTACCTCTTCATGGTTCTTCTTGAGGTACGTCATCTCCTCACTCAGAGACTCGTACTGCAGCTCCTGGTCAGTCTTGCAGAGGGTTAGCTCGTCCAGGACGCGTCGCAACCCATTGATGTCCATCTCTACATTCTGGTGAAGGGAAAGCTCATTTTCATACCTGGCGAGTGGGGGAGAGAGGCATCGGAAGACATCAGTGCAACTTAGCAGAAAGGGGAACTCTCCATTCATTTAAACCAAACCAGAAGTTGAATGAGTACTCTTAATATTATAAACAAACACAGAGAAAGCATGAAAATTAGCAGTCATATAACCCCACAGATTCCAATATAGCATATCTTTATTGACTAAAAAAGATGTTATTTTGTAATTTTATCTTAGTTATCAGTTTTACTCAGGCAGCAAGGGGTTAACTGGGCACCTACTTTGTGCTTGGCATTATTTTAGGGAGATATAGAGATGTATTGGTATTTTGTTCCAAGAAGATAATACATATATGGACAAATCTCAATTATAAGGGATTGCAGTATCGCAGTAAAAATCCTTTGCTTATTTTTTATCTTTAGATTTTGGTTTATTTTCCTTGGGATGTAGCTGACATTTTATTTAACAAATTACATATAGGTAGGAACCTTTTTTACCCCCTCTAGACCACAATTGTTTTCTTTCACTTACTTTAGTCGGAAGTCATCTGCCGCCAGCCTGGCATTATCAATTTGCAGAATTACATTCGCATTTGCAGCTGTGGAAGCGATAATCTAGAGGAAATCAAAAGAAAAATAAGTTTGCTCCCGTTATTTATTATTTCACTTAATAAAACTGTTAACATAGCTAGGTGCTGGTGGTTCATGTCTGTAATCCTAGCTACTCAGAAGGCTGAGGTTGGAGGACTGAGGTTTTTGAGGCCAGCCCAAACAAACAAATCTGAGAGACTCTTAGCACCTGTTCACAAGCCAAGTGCTGGAAGTAGAGCTGTGATTCAAGTGGTAAAACACTAGTCTTGAGCAAAAAAGCTAAGGAACAGCACTCAGGTCCAAGCCCCAGTACCAACACACACACACACACACACACACACACACACGTGACATAATTAAGAAATGGTTGCATAAAAGTCCACATGAAATAACCAAAACATTTAGAATTTATTTTTAAAAATTAAGAGCTAAGTTTCCATTTATTTCCATCTAGTCAATCACTTCTACAAATACATTCGCTACAAATACATTTCCCAATAATGCAACCCATAACCTTCTAGCTATCTTGAAATTCACAAATGAACGTGCCTACTTTGGAGCAACGGGAATGATGGTATAGTAAGTGACTGTGTATTGAAATGATGATTCTTTAATTTACCTATTTGTTACAAGTGAGTAAATCCAAGTCAGAGGGTAACTGTCCTGATGCATTTCACATAGAGGTTCTCTGCCCTCGGCTAGCTATGTCTTAGCTGGACATCCTTGGGATGGTTCCATCGCTGGGGTTTCTTACCTTGCTTTTCAGATCCTCAATTGTGAGGTGATAGACACTGTAGTCATGATCCAGCCCGCGGCAGGAGCCAGGTCCATATTTTTCATACCAACTCTTGATTTTTTTCTCCAGGTCTGCGTTGGCCTCCTCAAGAGCCTTCACACTATCCAGGTAAGAGGCTAGCCGGTTGTTGAGGTTTTGCATGGTCATCTTCTCATTGCCAGACAGGAGGCCTCCCTCGCTTCCAGCAAGGCCAGCACACGCAGCGTTTCCAAGGGTACCACTACCACCAGCAACGCTGCCCAGGCCTGTGCCCAAACCACAGGAAAATCCACTCGTGGCAACCGAGCTACCATAGGTGCTGCTGCCTCCAAAGCTTGCTCCTCTGCTGGGTGGTCTGGCGGCTGCAGCTGGAGACTGGAAGCCCACATGCCTAGATTCGCCAGAACACCGGAGGGACATGGCGCGTGGAGAATCCTTCACCTCTGCCTGTGGAGAGCTGAACCTCAAAGATGAGTAGAGTAGCTTGTGGGGATGGTTTCCTTGGGCTTTTATGCACAATTCCTGGAGGAGTGTGGGGGGTGGGTGGTTCCTATTTGAGTTCTGAATGCCAAAAGAAAAAAAAAAAAGAATGGCATCATTTAGATGAGGTGTAATTGGGAGATTTAAAAAAATATAATGAAGGTCTAACATGCCTGGGTATTGCTTCAGGATGTTTGTTATCTTGACATAAATTAGGGGTTGTTGTATTTTGAGTTCATTATTTGAGCTTCTAATTTTGCATGAGTAATTCTTCACTTTCTTTCATCTAGAACCTAAGAATATGCCATCATTATCTCGTGGAGGATAGTATCAAGTGTGAAAAGTAAAGCAAGATGGTGGTAGTGTGTCAGTTACAGTAGAGTCTCAATTATAAAGGCTCATTAACCACAGAACTATATTTTTATCCCACGAGAGCAAAAAAAACCCCAACCCAAACCAAAACCCCCAAACCATGTTATTAAAAATATATTGCCCAGTGCTAGTGGGTTATGTCTGTTGTTCTATCTACTCAGGAGGCTGAGATCTGAGGATCTCAGTTCAAAGCCAGCTATGGTAGGAAACTCTGTGAGACTTATTTCCAAATAACCACCCAAAAGCTGGAAGTCGAGCTGTAGCTCAAGTGGGAGAGTGCCATCCTTGAGAGAAAGAACTAAGGAACAGTGCCCAGGTCCTGAGTTTAAGTCCCAGTATTGGCATA